GGCAGCGGAGACGAAACATTTGGTCCCCTTTTGCGAAGCCGTGATCAGAGAGAACGCATCGTTGTTCACTAATGATACGGACGTGTTCTTGCCACATGCTGTTAGGGAGCTGAATATATTCCATGAGTGCTTGAAGGAGAACACGCGTCGGTTGTCTGACGTCCAGCAGCGCATTCTCGAGACTTCGATGCTGAAATACTTGGCGTACTGGAAAGCGTGGGGTGGCCATGAAATATTCAAACACCACATGTGCGTACATGTAGTGGCCCGCTCCAGGCGCCAGGGGAATCCCAAACTGATGTGGACATTCTGTGACGAGTCAGATAATAGAGCCATGGGTGCAGTGGCAAAGTCACTGCACCATGGCAGCACGTTTTACTACTCGTTCCTCGAGAAGGTGATTCCCGAGCTTTGCTAGTGATACCATGCAGTTGCCATGTGTGAAAAAACGCCAGGGAAGATGCAATGTGGTGCTGGACGTCAGACAACCGAGCAGGACAGATGAGCACGGCGGCTGAGGGAGAGGACCGAGGATCGAGGACGAGGGTCCCTCTCTGGAGGCGGGGGAGCAGCGGAGGATTAACATGATATCGTCTTGCCTCGTTCCTTGTTCTTCGTTTCGTCCCCGTTCTTATGCATCGGCGGAGGCGGACAGGAATTTACGGAGGACCTTCCCACCCCACCACCCCACCCCTTGGAGGAACGAGAATCCCATAGGCCGATCGACGTCCAAGATTTCGCGTTTCGAGATGTTCGGCCCTCTCTGAGGCCGCGCTCGATGTACGAGATTTCGTGTGTCAAAGCGTTCGGACCTCTTCAACGCCTCGATGTCAGAGGTGTTGGGGTTCGAAATGGTTGGCCCGAATTCTGGTCAATGGCTCTGCGTATATACATGTCAGTTGTTTTGGATTCCCTCGGACCCGCTCAAAATCAAATCCTCTCTGAAACTCATCGCGATCGGTCTCAGTTTCGAGCCGCTTCGGATCCAAGCTTCGAGTCCCCCGTGGGCCGCGGGCACATGCTATGCACACCACGTGCAAGAGCTTCGCGCAGAGCCAGGGGTTCGCACGCACGTGGACCATCCACTCTGCTCTTCCCACGGGGCCCCTGGGCACCCCTTCCGCAGGAGGCGGGGGGTACCAGGGCGTGGGGCGGGGGGTAGTGCTGGAACGCATGTATATGGTGTATGCGGCCGTCCTCAACGGCTACGCGAACTCCCTGTACGATGGCCACGTCTGCGAATCCACTCTGCCCTTCCCACCCCCTGGGCACCCCTTCCGCAGGAGGCGGGGGATACCAGCGCGTGGGGTGGGGGGGTATGTGCTGGAACGCAGTGCGTGGTGTATACTGCCGTCCTCAACGACTACCTGTACGATACTGCGAATCCGCTCTGCCCTTCCCACCCCCTGGGCACCCCTTCCGCAGGAGGCGGGGGATACCAGCGCGTGGGGTGGGGGGGTATGTGCTGGAACGCAGTGTGTATACTGTCGCCCTCAGCGTTTACGCGAACTCCCTGTGCGATGGCCACGTCCCCGTGCTGTGTTTCGAGGGCTGGCTGTCCATTGATTTCGCCCTGAGCGTGAACTTCGACATGGGTGTGTGGTTGGCCATGGTGGTGTAAGTACACGGAACTACCCCAGGCTGACGGAGGAGAGAGGGAGAGAGGGATGATGATGATGATGATGATGATGATGATGATGATGATGATGATGATGATGATGATGATGATGATGATGAGGATGAGGAGGAGGAGAACGATTAGCAGGAAGAATGAGGAGAAGAACAAGAGAATCATTAATGAGGAGGAATAACGAGGAGGAGAATGAGACCGAGGAGACGAAGAAGACCTTGCCGAGGTCGATCGGTCGCCTTTCGCCCCCCCCCCCCCTCCCCCTCCAAAAAAAAAGCTGCCTATAGGCTGGGCTCGAGGAAGGGCCTCGAGATCGCCAAGGATTGAGGCGGAAGCTGGGCCAGCCTCGAGCCGTTCATTAATCGGGGGATCGGCGGATCCCCCCGTTGCTTCATTGGAGGCGCGGCCGCGTCGAAGCGCGCTGGCCTCCTCCTCGCAATGTTTCACTCCTCCCTCCTGTCTGGATCCATGCGCCCGCGCGGGGCAGGCGAGGGCCTCGATCGAGAAGGCTGCGCTCGCATCCAGGGTCGGACTTCGAAGCCTTTCCCCTGCTCCCTCGACTCGACAGCCTCGATCACGCTCGAGTTGTAAAGCAGACAACTTCGGCAGGGCACGGGGGCCATGCGTGCCTCCATGCCTTGAAGCTCTCGCACGTCCCGCCTTGAGGGGCCGAAAGGCTTGATATCGATCGGTCGATCGATCGACTGATCGAGATCGCTCGATCGATCGAGCACTCGGTCGATCAACCGATCGATCCTTGCCTTTCGGCCCCGCCCCCGTGCCCTGCCGAGGCTGGCCCCGCGCGCGGCGCTCGATCCAACCTCTCCCCGTCGATCCAGAGCGGGTGCGGCCGAGGCTCATCCAGTGAGCGGCCCAGCCCTGAGAATAGTCAGGGCCGACGTCTATGTGTATATATATATATAGACGTTTCCTTGCGCGGCAGCCCTGAGAATCTGTCAGGGCCGACCTGCCGACCGTACTGCTCCCGCGGGAGCGAGCTGCAGGCCCCCAGCCTCTCTCCCTCCTTCGATTGAAACCACCGCCCTCGCCCCACCAACCTCCACATCCTCGCCGTCACCCCTGCACGTGTTCCTATCATAATTTCCTCTCCTTTCCCTTCTCGGACAATTACATAATTTCCTCTCCTTTCCTTTCTCGGCGAATTAGCACGTGAAGCTGGCCGCTGCATTAATGCAGAAGGGCCGCCCACGCTGCGCCTGCCCCTTTCTCGCCCCCCTCCCCCCTCGATCCGGTTCGATCCGTGCAGCGAGGGCATGGCGCGGGGACGTGCGCCGACACGTGGCTAACGCATGCGCGTGCAACTTCGAGGATGACGACCCACCCTCCTACTCCATCCTCCCACCTCGTCCCCCGCATCGCTCGCGCGATGCAGCGACAAGTACCCAGGGACGCAGTACGAGATCATACCAATTTGCAACCATACGCTTGGGAAAGAGCCCTCATCCTCCTCCACCTCCTCCTCCTCGCGGCCGCTGTCGCGAAAACGGCCCATTATAATGGCCGCCCTCCAGACCCCAGACCTCCTGGCGTCGTGAAAAATCACGACGGGCGGTTTTTCGCTGTGTTCGGCCTCTGGGTTCTCTCACTGGGCCTCGGGAGCGACAGACCTCTGGGGGTCGACGTTGTGAAAAAATCACGACGTCGGGGGTCTGGGTTCGCACACTCAGGCACACATGCACGCACGATCGCCGAGTACCTTAGTTGACATGCGAGCCTGGATCCAAGTCGGGAAAACCGAGTGGACTCGGTTTCGATCATTTGTTCTTGCCCCCTTCCTCCCTCACTCGGCCTCGACCCCAGTGACTTCTCCAGGGACCCCCGCGACAGCCTCCCCTCAGCCTCTCCCCCTCCCCTCCTTCGCCTCCTCCGTTGGCACCTCCGTCGGGGCGCGCTCCGCCCCACCGTCGGCCGCGAGCCGATGTACGTCGCAATCGTTGGAAACATCCCCTCTGCAAACTCACGCCTCCTCTCGCTCGCGCGTGGCTCTCAGAGTGGACGTGCATGAGTGCACAGTGATCTACGACGGTGCAGGATGTCGCCCGATGCAGCGCCACGTGGTCACAGATGCGCAGGAGATGAGCGCCACTGACATTGCCACCATGAACGTTTGGAAATAACGCCCATCCCCTCCACCTCCTCCTCACTCGGGATCTCTACCTCTCTCCGTCGATTAACACCACAGTTGGTCGACACGCGTGGCCGCATCATCGTGCATGGTGGTTATGACCGACGCTTGCTCTTGACGGAAAACGGCGGTCGTCCGCGCGGTGCTCGGGTTTCCCTTACGTGTTTTTGTTCCAAGGTTTTTTTGTTCCAAGGGTGTTTTTTCCGCCCTGGCCCCGACCCAGGATCCTGGGACCAAAAAGCACACCCCCCTCGAATTGCACCACGCAGTGTCGTATCCGTGCACGCATGCCTGCGCATGATGTGTGTATGTTTGTGTGTATATAGCATTGAGAGGTGCATGTTTCTTCCTCTCATCTCTCGATCCTAGTTTAGCCTAGGGCTCGCTCGCCTCGCGCACGATTCAGCGGCGCAGGGAGCACGGGCTGAATGGCCTGTACGCCATTATGCACTACGCGCCACACGCATGCGGATGAAAAGTGCGGGCGTCCTATATATATATATATGTATATATATATGTATATATATACGTGTGTGGATATATATATATATATATATATATATATATATATAAAAGATCATCATTCTATTCCTCCCCAACTATTTGAATCGATCCTGACGCTGCAGAACGCGGCGTTGGCGCGTGAGCGGCATCATGCTGCCGTGCACTATTGCATATGTTGCAGAAAAGAAAGGAAAATGAATGGGGCCGCTGCGCGCTCGTCTCCGCTCCTCCATGAGCAGACCCCTCGAATGCTGCCACGATTGCGCATCTCGATCTTGCAGTGCGCAGCTTCGATCGGGACGCCCACCCCGCTTCACCATCGCGGACGTTGCGCACTAATGCATGCCAAGTGCGCGCCCCGCCACCCTCCATCCTCCTGCCGTGGCTATTTTGGTTCAATATTGGTCGGCCCAAGTTGGCACTGGCCCGTAGGCCCTGTCAACGATCGTCTTATGACAGAAAACAATGCAAACGCACCATGAAACCCAAAAACACGACAACGCCAACTTACGCAAAAACGCACTACATGCCTTTGCCTTGTTTTTCTCGCAACGTCTTGAAACGAGAACACAACAAGAACTGGCGTCTTGAAAAAATTGCGACTGGAGGATGTCAGGGGACGCCCCTTCATGCCGGCGGCCGCCAGGCTGATAAGAAGGCGGTCGCCAAGGCCGGCAGCCACGTCGGCGCCCGCGCGCTCGACGCACGGCAGCCCGCAACCGGCCGTCGGACGGATTAAGCTCGCCGGGGATTCGCCCGGCAATGACGCGCAGCCTCCAGGCGAGCGAGAGGGCGCAGATCCCCCGGAGGGCGCTGCGCTGCTGGGCGGAGCCACCGCGGCCATTGCCGATGGCGCGCGACAACGACGCGTCGTCGACGAGGCAGACGATCCGCCAGCAAAAGGCGTCGGACACGCGATGCCGGCGCCGAAGCGCGGAGCCCAGCGCAAGGCCCTCAGCGCGGTAAATGTCGCACGCGTCGCGCCACGAGAACGAGCGCGCGACAGCCCAGCCGTCGCCGACCCTGTCGACCTCGCCGAAAGACTTGCCCCTGTCCTGGGCGACCTCGGACGGCAACTGGGCAGAGTCGCGGAGTGCGGAGGCGGCGCGCGCCGGCCCCGGCGGTGGCCCGCGCGCGCGGGCCGAGCCCTCGAAGGGGCAGCGCCGCCCCTCGGCCGCGCGGCCCGCCTCGGCGACGGCCTCGGGCGAGCAGCGACGGCGGCAGACTCCGCGGCCCCAGCCAGAGGCGTCTCTGGCCGCGACCACGGGATGCTGCTCCGCGCCCGCGAAGCAGATTGCGGGAGCAGCGAGCGCGCGCGCCGGCTCGCGGCGGACCGGCGGCCAGTGCGGCAGGGCCTCATCCTTCGCCGCCTGAATGGAGGGGTCGACGGCGTCGAAAAGGACCAGCGAGCACCTCTTGAGCAGCGCGGCCCAGGCGCAGCGTCCCAGGACGATCTCGAGGAGCGCGCCCATGACCTTCGGGCGCCGCAAACACTCCTCAATGGCGCAGCGGAGCCGCCGGGCGAAACGGCAGAGACCCGCGCCGAGTGCTCGTGCCCGTCGAGGTCGAGGCCGACGAAGCCGGCCTGGCGCGCGGCGCTGACCTGCTCGCGCGCGGCGAAGCCGACCGAGGAGAGCTCGCGCTCGACCTTCTGCGCAAAGGCCTGCACTTCGCGCGCTGGCAGCCAGCCGCCAGGTAGTTGTCCACGCAGGCCGCCCCAGCTGGCAGGAAGCCCATGCCCGAGCCTGACGCCCAGGCTGCGGTCGCGGACCTGCCTCTTGGGCGCCATGCGAGCGCGCGCGAGGGTAGCCTCCGAGACGCACTGGCAGGGGTGGAGGGAGGGCCCACGACCGGCCGACGGGCAGGACGGCGAGCTCCGGCAGCAGCAGCTCCGACTGGCGCATAGGGGCGCCATTCAACTGAGACAAGCCAGCAAGTCCAGCCCGCGCGGGCGGCAGGGAGAAGAACTCACAGAGGCCCTCTGGGACCTGCACGGCGTAGAAACCGTGCGAAATGTCGCAATGTCGCCGCGCCCCTGCGCCTCCATGCGCGAGGAAGCACTGGCGCTGGGGCGCTCGGTGAAGGGGGCGGCCCGAAGCGCGAGCTGCAGACGCGCGCATCGCAGATGAGCCGCTGCCGCCAGACTTCGCGGCCACGGCGAAGACGCCCAGAGGCCCTCGGCCGCTGTTGACCCGCGACAGCCGCGGATCCCTCGGCCCAGCAGCTCGCTGTCGAAGTCGCCGTGGGTGACCAAATGACGCGGCTCGAGGTCGATGTAGGGTTGAGCGAGACCCAGATCTCGACGCGGGACCGCAGCCTCTCCCGGCGGGCGAAGCACATGGGACTTCGAGCCCTGCAGCCGCGAACGGTCAGCCCCCAGACGGGCGGGCTCGAGAGCGACAGGCGCGGAGCCGCCAGGAGGCTCGGACACGAGGCCCCTGCTGCAGGACACCACGCAATCGCGACCAGCCGAGCATAGCGGGCAAGAGGAGCAGAAGTCGGACAGGGCGTTGCGAGGAGCGATGACAGCGGGCGCAGGGCCGAGCTCGACACACTGATCAGCGATGTAGTCGAGAGACTGCTGCTGCAAAACTGAAGCTCGCCTGCGCGCGGGTGGCGAGCCGCCCCCGCCCAGCTGGCCCAGCTGGTTGAGCGCTTCGATCCCGCCGCTGGCCCAGGCGACCCGAGCTGCGGCAGCGCGCTGACCAAGCCCGGGCAGGGGTCCGTCAGGTAGATGAGGAAAAGCAAGGACATGTCGCTTACGACTGCAAACCATTGCGCGGGGACCACGATAGCAGGAGCGAGGTGCCTGGAGGGCGCCGCCAGCCACTGTGAGAGGGCAGGCGCAGGCGGGCTAGGCCTCGGCCTCGCCGCCGCGTCCACCGCGCCCGCCACCCCCGCCGCCGCCACCGAAGGCGGGCGGCGGGCGGGTGGAGCAAGTTGCCGCTCCTCGCGCGCCTTGCGGCGCTCCTTCGCGATCCACTCGGCAAGAGCGGGAGCGACCGTGATCCCGCGCGTAGACTGAACCTGCGAAGAAGAACTGCCCGTCGCCTCCTGACCTGTTGGCGCGGGTGCTAACCAGCTTGCTCTTGCAGCGCTCCTCGCATAGCTGCAGCTGCCTCGCGACCAGCTCAAACGCAGAAAGGTTGGAGCCGTCGACTTGGTCATTCGACTGGGCCACCTGCTTAAACTTGGAGAATTCGTAGTGCATGCTGACCAC